TGTAGAGCAACTTTAACAATTCAGCGCAGCAGATGGGGCTTCACCTAGTCCTCAAGTTAAACTGAGGTAGCACATGGGCCTTCCCTTAGGAATCCTGCTCCTTGCACAGGCCTCTGGTCACCAATCCTGAATCAATTCCTGTTTATGTAACAGGGAAGGTGATAATAACAACTTCCAAAGTCATTTTCAGAGAGGTGCTGAAACATCAGAAGTTTAAGTAAACTCTGCCGTAAACAGTTACCAGAAACTGAACATATCAGATTGGTTTGTGCACATTTTATTCTAGTAAATTACTTTTGTGGTGTTTTAGTCCATTTAATAAAAAACTACAAAGCTTCAAAAGGAGAACAATGAGCAAGATTAAATTTTTTTCTTGCCTGATATATGCTCATACCATACAATCTTTTACGTAAGTAAAAGAACCCACTAAGCACGCTACTTTTCAAATAATTTTATTAACAACAATATAGATTCAACTTTGTCAAGAAGTTACAATTAACATTGTAATGTACTGGCTAATGTCATTGCAGTGTCAGTGGAAGCAGCCTTCGTCACTGCTTTCTAAGACTGTTACGAAACTGTCTTTTTATCTTTCAAAGAAGTAAAAAATGCTTCCAATAGCAAATGATATTGGATATGTCTGGAATTATCCTATATGTGGCCACAGCTGATTGAATGGCCACATTTGCATCCAGAGGAACGAACAGGAAAATATTACATGCTTCCACTGACGCTGCAGGGGACAATTCTTATTTCAAAAACCAATTAACCTTTTTAGACAGTGACAGCACTTCGTGTGATGTTGTAATCCATTTGAATCAAGCCGACTGACACACTTGAAAAAAAAAGTGAAGCAGAAATATCTGGGGCAAATTCTTTTCTGACCTGTATTTCATTCAAACCTAATGAATCCAAAAGGATTGCATGACATATGAGTCAGGATAAAAGTTGGCCCAGAGAGGCAAGTTCATTCCTGGTTATAGGTGGGTTCAGTTCCTTTAAGGTCAGTGGAACTGAGCCTGATTATCCCAATGGAGGCTGAACTTCACCCAGTTAGGGCAGTGAATTCATTGGAGTCAGTGAAGCCATCCAAGGGTGAATTTAGCCTCAGGTGTTTAAACCCTTTTTTTGTTCCTTTGCTGTTACATTTTCTTTTCCTGCTTACTCCTCTTTTCTGATTATTCTCCTTTTCTGTGTGCTTTTTAAAAATGTCTCTTCTTCCCTTTTTACATCAATACTTTGTGCGTTATTTTTTATATAGTCAATGTGACATGGGTAAATTCAGCTAAGTATTAGTTTCCTCAGGAAATAACTGGAATATTACCATTTTCACTTTAAACAGATGCCCAACAAAATAAGGATTTGAATCTGAGCTCCCGATTCAAGAAAAATTCTTGAATTCCATAGAATGAATGAACTCCATCGAATTTTTGCTTGAGTAAGGATTGCAGGTCCCAATCCAGAAATACTACTGTACATCAGATGTTCTACTATACATCAGCAATTCAGTATGATTTGACTTATCACAGAAGAGCAGGTGAATTACTCATCACCATACTGTAATGAGAGCAGTCACTCTAAGTAGGATTATCTCAAAAACATATGGAACAACCGTGGGCACTGTGAATAAAAGTGTATGATCTTTGCAATCTTGAACCCTAGGCTAAAACACTATATTCATAATTAAATAAAAAGTATAGATCATATAAGCCAGGAGCAAATACAAATTTTTAAACAAATAGTAATAATCAAAACTATTCTTTTCAGTTCTCTCTTCAATCAGGTACAAGAAACATGCTGATCAGAAAACAGTTATTTGGATAAGGCTTAATTCCTGAAGCTCTTACTTAAGTTCAAATTCTCTCTTCAACAATCCTCAAGTGGATTGTAAATCAGAAAAAAAAATTGTCCTTTGTCCCTACTCTTGAATAATTCTTATTAGCTGTCATGTGCTGGACTTTAATAAGCAGCTCAGGACAAGACTTGAAAAGCCAGACAGCTCCTTCTTATGTGAAACCAATGAATGACTGTCAGTCATGACACTGTCTTTTAAAGAGAGAGCATAGAAACAGGAAACTCCTCATGAGGAAATATGAGCAAAGCTTATGCAATCCAAACAAACAATTCTTCCTCTCCAGAATTTCATATATTTACTACTCTTTCTATTTTCTATCAATATTACGTTAAAAAATTCCTATATGATAAGACTTGCAGCTACAAAAATAATAATGGTGAGCATAAAGGAAAAAAAATTAGGACTTTAAACCATAATTTGAAAAGATACGATCTTCTGGATTTATTAGTACTTTGTAAAGACATGAACATTTTCATACATAATTTATAGAACTCATTCTTTTGTGCACAAAATTGTATTAAATAAATTAACTTAAAATTAGAAGGACTCAAGCATGTCATTTAAGGCAAAAATACCAAGTTTCCGTGAGATAAATTATCAGCAAAACCCAAGGCCCTGTTTCTGTGCGGAATCGGTGCAGACAGGGCCGATGCTCAGTTCTCCCACTGACGCCTTCTGGGCTCAGTGGGGCCGCAACCATCCGCGCATGCAGATGAAGGTGGAAGAGTGGAGCCTGACTGATGATGCCTTGATTTTTCAACCCCGTCGAGGAGAGGAGTGGAGTTCCGTGACTGATGCACACTTGCCATGTGCCCTCTCTCTTGCTCCTTAACTGAACCTAAGCACAAGGTTTATGTTTAGGCCAGCCAGAGGCTTCGTATGAAAGGCAAGAAAGGCACCATAAACCGTTAGGAAAAAGAACTAAAAGCCTAAAAAAACCTTGTAAGTTTAGAAATTTTAGATAGGGCTTTAAACTTACAGATCTGTCTGGATAAACTGCAGGAATTCAAATAAGTTAATAGTTAAGTGAACTGAGATGTGGAATAAACCTTATTTATCCTCACAAAATTACTGTTGTATTCAGGCTTCAGTATGATCAGACTACATGTAAAAGAAAACGGGAAAGACTGAATGTGGTAAATTATATGGCAAATCAGTGGTGAGGAAATTGTGCTTCAAGGTGTCTTTCAGTATTTAACAGCTGCAGTTTGCTCCGGCGTGAGCCACAGAACGCAGTGTACCATCTATGCACCCCATATAACAACACAATATATACACTCTACAGTTTGCATGTACTTTCACATAATAAGGTTATCGTGTAACATCCAGGACTACTTCTGTAAAGGAAATATGGAAGCAGAAATTACAATGGTTTCATAGTAAACAGATCAAGTCCTTCACATACAATCTACAGCGTTTAGCGTGGTTTAAGACTGGAGTGACATTTTTGATGTACATAGTAAGTTCCCAGCAGGTCTGGGCCTTGAGAAAACACTGCCCTGAGAGAGCTGGCACTGGCACCCCCGTACATTCGGTGTTCCTGCTGCTAGAGGGAAGCTGAGCCCAAGTTCGGTTGTCTACAAGCCTGTGGGGCAGGTGGGGTGTAAATCTGGGGGGAGGCAACGCACAGAAACCTTGTTGGGCTGGGAAGAGCGAAAGCCTGTTCTAGGCTTCCGCAAGGGCTCTTCCAGCGGTGAAGCCTTGCTGGGGATGTGCAGGTAGGCACCAGCACTGCTCCTGCACCTCAGCAGAAGTGAAGCGTAGGTTAGGAT